ATCTGTATTGTCAAGGCGCTCCCCGTGGTTTCTGAATAGTGTTTGACCATGGCTGCACTCTTTGTTGTCTCATAACTTGACTGCCATCAACTCAGACAACAACTGATCAACTGCTACAGTATGGTGAGTGTTGCCAATAACCAACTAAGCTATAGTAATTATTACAAAGAGTGCCTAAAATAATAATAATAATAATAATAATAATAATAATAGGTAGACTATTCTGTTCTGACTTCCAGTTTGACTATCAGTTGATTTGGTTTCTCCGCTAGACATTTTACAATACATTATTTTGACAATTATTATGAAAACAAACTTGTGCAATCTCAGTGTCTTGATTTTATTGAGGTTTAATACACAGCCATAGCCATAAATGCAATGGTACTAATAATTGAAATATCTATCTATCTATCCATCTATCTATCTATCTATCCATCTATCTATCTATCTTTCCATCCATCCATCCATCCATCTATCCATCCATCCATCCATCCATCTATCCATCCATCTATCTATCTATCCATCTATCTATCCATCTATCCATCCATCCATCTATCTATCCATCCATCCATCCATCCATCCATCCATCCATCCATCCATCTATATCTTTAACTCATCAAACAGAGCAATATGGAGTCTAGGCATGCCACAGCTTATATAATATTTATTTCCTAAAAAAACAATGTCTGTTACAATATAATATCATCTATTTCAGATTATGTGTAACCACCAATTCACTTTACTAAATTGACTCATTCACAGCATTGCCTAACTGTCACCTGGATAACCGCCTGATTCTGAATCATGTATTATTATAAATGTGTAATATCACATATCTGTTAATTCATTTGTGAAGATGAACTGGATTCAAACTTTTTACGCTGTCTGAAGCATTGGCAGAATTGTGTTGACTGTATATGCAATAATTCCACGGTTCATTCTCTTATCATTGCTCTGATGCAGAGTCCATCATACACACATTATTATTTGTCTGCTCTCGCAGGAGCTTAAAATACCATCTCATCATGGGGAGGCTTCAACATTTCGGTCAGATGCGTCAGACCGGCCTCACGAAGCGCAGGGCAGTCAGTAAGTCTGCTGCTAACAAGCTGTCTGACGAACGGGTTGTAAGGGCCTGTAAACCGAACCTTCCTGCGGGTGGCGAGTCCACTGGAAGGTACCAACCGCCCCAAACCGGGATGAAACATATAATCCAAATACAAATAATACATTAGAAAACAAAGTCTGGCTGTCTCCTCCTGCTGATCCTCTCCTTCTGCCATCTTTACTTCTGCTGACTTTTTGAAACACCTACGCTCGAATGCGCTCGTAAGCCAATACAAGGTACAATGCGCACTAAGGTAGCGTATTCTGCCAAGTATTTCAAACTGACAGGACAAGGACAACAAACTGCCGTTCGACCATTTGAACGACAGCCATAGAGAGAGAACAAGGAGAAGCTCCAGAAGAAAGTCAAGAGCCAAAAAAATGATCCTGGATGTTGTAAAGCAATTAGTAGTTACGTTTGTTACCATTGTGTTTAGAATAATACCGCTGTATGTTTGTCTTATTTTCTTTAAATACAAATTCTTAAATTGGAACCTGGCCATACATGTCCTTAGCGCAGTAGGCGCTATTACAATATGCAGACTAATAAAAGTTGTATGACCTCACTGGCTGTCTCTCTGTGTTGTTACCAATGACAACCCCCAATAGTGCCTCAAGTGTTTACACAATGTAGCTCGTGCTCATTCAGCACTTAACCTAGGCTGGTGTTAATTGGCGTTACATTGCAAAAACTAACTAGTAGTAGAGTAGCCATCCCTATTATTTTAAGCAAGAGGCAGAAATTTATAATCAACAACTGTATTTTTTCCAATAAGCCAGGTAGTAGAAGCGCGCTTTGGTTTTAGCTAGTACACAATAGCCAGTCTGCCAGTCATGTGCAAGAAAAATGGCAGATCCTTGCACAGGTAGAGGTGGTAGCATAGGTGGAGCTGCTCAGTGCTAAGGTGCGGGATTTTTTAATTTACCCACTTCTCTAGACCACAAAGCAGGGAAAAAAAATCACAACACATCTTTTGAGACAAATTAGCACATTTTAACAGATCACAAAACATCTACTTAGTTGTTGAAACAGGAGCTCAATGATTAGGCAGACACCCCAAGACACAAATATGTATACCAAAAACTCTGATAATATCATTTTTTCCCATATGTTCCTGTAATATGGAGTAGACGTTTAGCAATTTTGGGGGACATATAAGGAGACCACAACAAGCTTCATAAAGACACAAGGTTTGGGGCGTGAGAGGATCTTGTAATTTTTTCAATATGAAACCAATATGACAGACCAATAGTAAATAAAAATAAATATGTTTATTATGTTTTCTCTTTATGGCCTAAGACCATAAAGACAAACAAATCAATTTTTGTTTCTCAGAACCCAACTAACAACAAATCAATTTTTGTTTCTCAGAACCCACGGGAATCTAAGACTCTCTGTTGGCACGAGCTGTTAGCAGCAATGCTATTAGATAAAAGGATCTGTGTGTCACTCTCGATTTTGGCTAGGATCTAAGCACAGTAAGTGCCGAGGAAAATATGAATAAGACTAATTGGAAATTACAAATACAGCACAGATATAAATAACACTTAACAATCCAGTGTTGTCCTGTACACACAATTTCTCATTGCTTGGTCTGTCATCTGTACCTGTACCTGGCATATTTGAAAATTATAATTATGCCACTGGCTTCGGTTTTGTCGGAAATATATATATACGATCTCAAAGCGCTGTCGCCTTTGTTAATGGATATTTACAATGTGTCTACATCACACGAGGCAGCAGACCTTTTCGAAGAGCGGAGTTCTTTTCCAATGTCAGAGCATCGGAGGACTTGTTTTAGATGCATCAATACAACACTTAAATATAGTAGTATATGATGGGGGGAAAAAACCGAAAAGGGGAAAAAGGGGATCAGGTTAGGGTACAACTATATCCAATTCTTCCATATAAATTGTACCTGAGATACATAAGACATAAAGGAGTAATACAACGTCAAAGGCTACAGAGGACAATAAATCCTTAGGCAGCATAAAATAGCATAACATAGTGTCATGAGATTTTTTTTTTCCCAAATGGCAAAAAATGCAATTCATCTCTTTTTGTTTATTTGTTTGTTTGTTTTTCTCATACTTGCTTATACGTCACTGGGTAGCAATTTGACACATTCCTGTATCAATGCTGGAAAAGATGACTCTTCCTAGTTCAACGGAAAAAAAATCATGCTGCTGCGCGTCTTAGCATAATGTTTAACAACACTACAACAGCTCTAGCAAGGAGTACCGAAACTGCGCGCCGGTTCTACTTTTATGGAGTTTTGCAACAAACAAAGGAGCCTGGAAATGCAAGACCTGAATAATTTAAAGCGCAGTGTAAGGCAACCCTCTCGCATCAAGAAACAACAAATAACCTCTCGACTCATAATTTTTTTTTTTTTTTTTTTGCTTGCTTATCCCAATATAATGACGAGACAGATATAGCTTCTTGTATTTTGCAAACGCCTGTAAACGGTGCATGAACTATGACTCACTGCATCATTAGTCATTTAGAGAACTTTAGTTTTATGGACTAAGCCCTTTGGATAAGAAGTGAGAAAATACAGCGCGACTGCAAACTAAACACTAAGCTGGTTACATCACGCTGGCAACTCGAATGAAAACAGGACAGAGACCACACTGTTATTTGAAAGATGGCGAACCGCATACGTTTAGAAATGGATTGATGAGTTTTTAATCAATTTTAAGCAACAGTTAACATTCAAGTAAACATGTTCCACTGCTGACAGCTTATGTAGGAAATGCTTTGTTATGCTACAACCCCGTTCACTGTTAAATCCACACTAAGGTTGCTGAGTATAATTCTTCGATCATTTCCTTCACTCAGCTTTTATGTGTTTATGACAGCTTTCTAAAACTTAATATCTGCGAACTGTATACGTGCTTATATAAATGCTTTTGAGAGGTACAGCCGCATGGGGTCCGAGCGCTGCTGACTTACATGGCACAACTTTATTTACACCTCTAAATGCACAACAAGCTGTCTTTGTAGAACTACCCTAAATGTACTAAAATTCCCATTCACGACGGGTGTTGGTTATTTCTTACCATGTACATCAAGGTGTACATTTCGGCTAGGAATATGCTACATTTAAGCAGGCTAGCCAGCAGCTAGCATGAGCTAACGCCAGGGTATCCCTTTACTGCCTACCTTTGGACGAGTCGAAGATGTTTTTGTGGTCCCAATAAAGTTGTCCAGGGAAAGTGAAGTCTTAATTTACCCAATTCCCACCAATGACAGAAATGTCCAAACTTATTTTGCTGTATAGAACTTAAAAAGTCATCCCAAAACAGACTACGACCGACAAAGTAATTTCTCCACTTACAAAAACGTCAACTATCGGCCACGAGTCACGCCCTCTACAAAATCAATCCAATCAGCGAGGAGGGGCTACGGACGTGACAGTCTAGCGAACCAATCGTCTCTACGTAAAAGCGTTGACTGGCGTCCGGCAGTAAATAAAGCACCAAATCAGAACGAACAAACACAAAACCTTCATTTGTCAATTGGCTGCGGAAATATAAAGGGCCATAGTTTTTTTTCTAAGCAGCCTATGGGAATGGCACTGGGTGCAAAGTGACAGGTGCCTCAAAGCTTAATAGCTGGGTCATAACCGCTGCAACGGTGAGGTCATACCATACGTCATTAGTCGTGATGCACAGATAAGGAATAACAGAGAGGGTTTTTAAAATTTTATTTTTCACAACGTAATATAAAACAACGCACTGCTGCACAATAAAACCAACAAAACACTGAATCATAAACATGCTGTTTTGTGAAGTCTTTGTACAAAAAAAAAAAGCCTCATTTTGAAAATTCCAATCAATGGGAGAGATCAGTTTCAGGGCAACCAGTTTGCCCCACCTAACGACGTCTCCTGTCTGGACTTCTGCTGCGCCTTCTTCCACCACCCCTAGAAAAAAAAAGCAAAATTCAGAGACAACACTACATATAGCTGTTTCTTATAGAGATGAATTGTAAACACAAACAACACTACATATAGCTGTTTCTTATAACTGCAGTTAAATTTATTAAAGAGAAATTCAACTTTTCTTTTTACCAACTAAGATACAGATGAACACAAATTAGATAGATAGATCACACTTTATTGTGATTTAGGAATTAATATAAAAAAAATTAAATAAAAATTAAACTCACCTCCTCTTGTTCTTAGGGGGCCCTCTGACAAATCCCCAGTCAACACTAATTGGCTGACCCATCATGTCCTGACCGTTGAGCCCTTCCATCGCTGCCTGGGCCTCTTTGTATGTCTCATACTCAACCAGTGCATAGCCCTGAAACACATAATATACACTTATATATACACACACTTATATTGCATTCAACTTTGACAAAAAAAACATTTTGTAGTTTAGAGGACAATTTTAAACAAAACTAACAGATGAGGGTTTACTTGCAGTAAAGTCACTGTGATTTGTAAAAAGAAAAGAAAAAAAACAAACTCCAATAGAAGACAAGCCTTACTGGAATTCACAGGTAAAAATGAATAAAAATACCAAATATGATGATGAATAGCAGGACAGTTGAGCAGTGATGTTTATAAGACAATAGAGAGACCTGCTATGGTGTGGCTCTGTCTAATAGACAAAAGACATATGGATATGGCAGAGGTGAAGCTGCTGAGATTTTCACCAGGATGGACCAGGATGGACAGGATTGGAAATGAGCAGATCAGAGGGACAGTTTGGGTGAAACGGTTTGGAGAGGTGAGGTAATGATGGTTTGGAAATGTGTTGAGGAGAGAAATTTAATACATTGGAAACAATGATGTTATAAATGGAGTTGTTGGGAAGTCCTCCAGGTCTTCATTTTTTTTGACAATTGGTGATTGAAATCATTGGTTAAAACTGGGTTTGGATCGGTCGTTTTTTGAGAAAGATTTAAAAAAAAAAGTGATTGTTTTGTTTGTAATTTCATATTATTTTTGAGGGACAAAGTTACTATGATACCTGCGTGGCTTGCTACAGTCTCTTTGGTCATGGGGCTGGCTATAAAACAGTCAACTAACGCATAGAGCCGAGGATGCCCTGAATGTCTGAATACAAACAAATGCTTTCAAATGTATCACCTTAAGATAGCCCGTTCTGCGGTCAAGATTCAGATGCAGGTTCTTTATTTCCCCAAACTCTGAAAATTTGTCGTGAATGTCTTCTTCAGTCGCCTCTTCATGCACACCCGTTACGAACAGGATCCAGCCCTCCACAGCTGCAGCAAGTTGAAAAAAAACAAACAAAAACAAACAAACACCAACAACAAATAATTAAGTACAAGTGTCCACATAGTAAGGAGAACATCCAATATTCAAATGTAAGAGTCTGTTTATATACTGTTTAATGAAAGGTTAATTGTTGTGTTTTAAGAAATGGACGCTAATTGTGTTTGAATCTACAGTACTGAAGGACAAATTGTGTATGTGTTTGCATAACATGACAGACTATGTCATGTCTGTCTCCTGGTCTGTATTAAGGCATTTTAAACGTGTTTGCATAACATGACAGACTATGTGACTCCTGGTCTGTATTAAGGCATTTTAAACAGAAAGTAACACACAAGGCTCAAACTCTAATATAGATGCAAATAACACTGTTGAAAACGTGCATGAAAACGTGTCTTCCTGGATGGAAACTTTTTTGTATTCATAACAAATCTCACGGAGTAATAGAAAATGCAGTACTTACATCTTTGAGGGCCTGGTTCGTCCCCGTCTTGCTCTACGGTATCGTAATCCTCTTTGATTCTAGATCTGGCTCCTTCTTCTAATAACAGAAAACAAATACTTAACAAGGATAGATACAGCAAATTAATTGAGAATTGCGCGCCCAAAGAAGCGGTCACTCACCTGAGCCAAAGCCTCGTCCCTTTCTCTTTTTGGCTTTCTCCTTTAACTTGTGGATGCTCTCTAGGGTGAGATATTAACTGCGTTAAAGTGGTCTATCGTGATTGTGAATAACGTCACAACAATGAATTGCGATAAGCTATATATATTTAAATCGCCATTGTTTGCTTTATACAGTTTAACTTGCGCAACTTTACGGAATTATTTTTCCATACATTTCAATTGTAGCGATGGAGCGCAGCATATAAGCTAAAAACAAGTTTCAAATCTACGTTTTTTGTTTCTGTGAGACCTAAAGGGTTGGATATCGAGTAATTTGCTCGTTCAACTCACAGTGATGTAAACTTTAATCTAACGATTAAAAACCGTGGGGAGCTCATGGCTTATTTTGAATTCGTGCCACTAACGTTAGCTTTGTTAGCAATCGCCAGGCCGCCATCCATGCTGCCTTAGTCGGTTGTGTAAATCTTTCTGGTATTTTACGGTAAACAGACAAATTCAGACAGTGAAATGTGTAGAAATAATCGCTTCTACACAACAACAGAATTGTATACCGTCACCATCCTCATCCATTGGAAAGTCCTCGCCTCCCGCCTCATGAAGATCTAAAACATCCGCCATGTTGTCTCTGTGTGCGTCGCTACCCCTGGACAGAAGCAACGAATGGACGCGCTTCTTCCTCTCTTTCTTTTACAGACAGATGGAGGGCGGGATGTATTACATTACCGACACCTAGTGGTGGAATTACGAAGGTGAGTCAAAAAGTTCCAAGATAAATGTAAATGCCACACGTCGATGTGTCTGACTCTGATGATTCTAATTAATTAATTAATTAATTCTAAATAATTAAAAATATTAAAAACTAATAATGCTAAAACATCGTTTTGTTTTTTTTATCAGTTAATCTTTTTTTCTCAACTCAAATTAACATTTATGGGTGGATGGATGGATGGATGGATAGATAGATAGATAGATAGATATCTTTTAAAGAGATAGAAGCGCAGTTATAGCAGCACACGAAGCAGGTAATTTGTTGGCTCAGAAGTAAAGTTGAGACTTGTGGGTTTACAGATGGGTTGGTTCTAAGAGACATAAGATATTATACTAATTTGTAATCAGACTCTTTATAAGCGCTTGCAATTACAATGTGTATCTAATCAGAAAAAAAAAAAAAAGATTTAAATGCAATAAATAAAGGTCATTTTAGCTAATCATTGAACTGACCCAGCCTGCTTCTTGTTAATGTTTCATTTATTGTACATGATTGTGAAGACATTTTTTTTGCACTGTCTTTCCAACACACACAAGGAGCAGGCACCTCCAACATCTAAGAAGGACTTCACTGTGTCATACACAATGAAGTACAAGCTATTTTGGTCGGTCATTATTGTACTTCTGTCCTCTGGTAAGCCAGCCATCAGGTACATTGAGTTTTATGCGAAAATCCCATGTTTCCAACATATTGATTTAGACATGTATCAATTTCCGCAGGTCTTTGTCATGGAGCAGGCGTCATTACAGCCGACTTTCTTCAAGGAGCAACCGGAGAAAACATAACCTTTTTGACATCTTTAAAACCTACAGCTGAGCCGTTTATGGCGCTGACTTGGAGCTTCAATAAAACCATTCAGGTGATAACTTCAACAAGCGAGGACATGACGGGACAGGGTTATGAGGACAGAGTCGTGCTGAATAGATCTACTGGATCACTGATCTTGAGGAACATTACGGAGAAAGACAGCGGAGAATACGAACTGCTGATCATCCCGTACGGAGCTGAACTGATCCAAGGAACTGCTAAGCTGCGGGTGCAAAGTAAGTAATGTGGTCAATGTATCTGACACCGTTAAAAGAAACAAAATACGGTCAATTGTGTTGATTTTTGAAGCAAACATTCTCTAAAATTCTGTACCACGCTTTTTTGGTTAAGACTTTATTTCACTTTTTTTTTGTCTTTTTTTTTTTGCGCAGCAAAAATATCCACAGCCTCCATTGACTGCCCCACAGAGCATTTAATCGAAGGCAAAACCTCCGTTAACCTAACCTGTGATGCCGATGGCCTGGTGACCAATAGAATATGGTTGAAGGATGGCAAAGCTGTGGTTCCTGGAGATAGATTCAGCTTTCATCACGGGAACCGGGTGTTCTCCATCAGCCCTACACACAGAACGGACACCGGAGAGATTCTATGTAACGTCAGCAACGACATTAGCTTCCAAACAGCCATGTGTAGTCTTAAAGTATACTGTAAGTATGGTGAACGACATTATAATATATATATTTGAAAGATAAGAACCTTTGAAGCCCATGCTAATCCTTGTTCGTTTGACCCTGTTCAGACGGTCCCGACAAACCGATCATCACTCAGAAACCAAAAAGAGCAGAACTTGAGGAACGGGTCAAACTCTTCTGCTCTGCTCAATCACTGCCAGAGGCAACTTTGTTTTGGACATTCAAAGGCGTCACGATTTCCAGACCCGAGATCAACATCCCCGAGTTGGAGGAAGAACACCTCGGGGTTTATACCTGCACCGTTCGTAATTCTGTGACGGGGCAGGAAGCCTCCGAAAGGCACAGACTGCGTGGTATTTGAGTTATCTTTTTTTTTTTAATCCTTCAATTATTTAGTACAGTGGAACCTCGAGATACGAGCACAAGCCGTTCCAGGACCGAGCTCGTAACTTGAGGTGCTCGTATCTTCGAAATTTTTTTTTTCCCCATAAGAAATAACAGAGAAAAAAAAATTAATCCATTCCAGCATTCTAAAGAACTCAATTATTAGTGCTAATAACCATGGAAAAAAAACAAAAAAAGTATAGTAGCTTTTTAAGGATTACTGTGATATAAAATGTTACCTTCGAGACAGACGATACAGTCGCGGCTAATGGCGTCATGTGCGGAGGAGGAGGAGGGAAGAGAGTTGGCCCGTACGTAAGCGGCGTGAGAGAGAGCAAATCACGGAAGCGATGTTTACGGAGGTCGACGTACACTTGAAGCGGCGTGGGCTGCTCCGATTGCTCCGCCACCTAGCGTCAGCGTCTGTAATCTCAAATATTTACTCGTATCTCGAAGCAAGAATTGGCTCGAATGCTCGCCCGTGTGTCGAGACGCTCGTATCTCGAGGTTCCACTGTATATAGATTTAGAAATGAAATGGTACAGTATGGCGAAATGTCCCCAGAGTATCAGAATAACATGTGCTAATTTTGCTAAGTTTTACAGGCTACGGCACAGAGATTAGGTACCATACATACCCGCGTATAAGATGCATTTAAAACAACAAAAAAGATAAAGATCAAATGGAGGTCGGGGGGGGCAATATCATTACACTTGATAAATAAATTCAATCCACACAATCTACAACTGATATTTAATAATTGTTTTAACTGCACCATTGATATACAGTAATGCAAAAAAAAAAATCACATGTCTATTCTGAATTTCATTGGTGAAATGTAATCAATTTCACCAAGATCATTTTCTAATTGTTTGTTGATGGTCGGCTTACGTGCGAGTTTTTGTAAAAATCACCATTCGGGGATCAGTTTTCAGGGGTCGGCTTATACGCGAGTATGTACGGTAACTGCTTTAGCTAACCAAGAAGTAGCTCAACATCCAGCAGCCAAATGTCTGCCAAAAAAGCTTAACATTACCAAAAAGATACAAAATAAGTATAATAAACGCCAGTCAACCCAGAAGTGAGCTTTAAATGATTCAAAAAATATCAACTAGCCACTGGAATTACTGGCCTATAAATTCAAAGATTGTTCAAACCAGCCTTTTAGACTTTCTCCTGTTAGTATCCGAGTCTGAATGACCTGTTGTTTTGAAACATTGACAGATTATGTCTGAATGAAAAAAAAAGTAAATTAGTAAAACTGAAGTAAAATTTTTTTACTTTTTTTTTCACTGTGTCCCTTTACCAAATGACCTACAGGGGTTAGGGGACCCCTGGTTTAAAGCAAACCAGGAGAAAGATAAAATCACAAGTGATACAAATATATGTATGTGCTGGTTGTATAAAAATGGAGAAGACCAAGTAATGCCTTTTTTTTTTCTTTGATCTAGACTCTTCTGCCAACATCAGTGGTTCTATGCCCATGATGGTTTGCACTGTCCTGATGTTGGTAAGATTCACGTTGATCTAAAGCAGCTTCTCAAATAGTGGGGCGG